CTGCTGTTCCCTGATCCATCCTTTATCCAAAATCCACACACAGGCAAAGGGCTGAATGGAACAGAGCCCACCTCTCCAACTGGGAGACATCCAACCACCAAACCAACCAGAGGGAGCRGGAAAAATCCAGCCAGAGCTCCGAGATGATCCAAACTGGCCGAAAACACAAGGAAGGGAAAGTTTTACGAGCCTGGCTGGGATGTGGAGCTAAAAATACAGCGGCTGTGACTCGGGGAGGGAGCGAGCGTCCGAGCCGCCGCTTGTTTGCGCACTCACGGCGGGCCGGGCGCTCGGCCCCGGAGAAAATCCTTCCCCTAAAAGCATCCAGACGGGGTGTGAGGGAATTTATATCCCCTCTCCCTGCTCTCCGTGCTGATGGATCCGGCGGGGAGGGCGGGGTCGCGTTTTCCCGGTTTTTCCAGAGGTTTGGAAGGGGCACAGGTCGCGTTTCCCCAGTGCCCACGGGCTTTTCCAGAAGTTTGGAAGGTGCACACATTGTCCCCGTGTGACAGCCCGAGGAGGGCACTGTGCTGGGGACACTCCTGGAAATCGCCAGGGTTTCCCACGGCTGCTTTTTTTTTTTTTTTTTTTTTTTTAAGCGGCTTTTCCCGAAATGCGCAAACATCCCCGTCCGTCAAATCCGCAGGGAAATGCCGCCCATCTGCCAGCGCTGCTGCTGTTCCCAAAGCCACCTAAATCCTCTAAAGCAGGAGACTAAACAGTGTAAAACCCACAGCGAGCTTTTAGAGGGGCCATAAAATCTCCGAGGCATCGTGAAGCGRGATGGATCGCTCACCACGCTGTCCTATGTGAACCTGTGACCTCTCCCAAAAAAAAAAAAACATTTATTAGGAAAAATCAGGGCCCCAGCAGCAGAATTGTGAGCTGAGCTCACGGCRAAGTTTCTGAATAAGTCAGGCCATAAATCTTTGTGGGGTTTTGTGCCCCAGCGCTGTGGCTTTGGTTTTGTTGTGGCTCCTGCTGAGCTGCCCCGGATGAAGAAGGTGCCATTGTGTGGCTGGAGAAAAAAAAATCCCGAAAAAAAACCACCTGTAAAAGCTTGTTTTTCTGAGCAGCTGGGTTGGAAGAGGGCTCCTGCCACAGCCAGAATTCCAGGTCTGGCACATCCCACCCCAGGAGTGTCCAAGGCCAGGTTGGATGGGGTTTGGAGCACCCTGGGGCAGTGGAAAGTGTCCCTGCCCATGGGGAGGTGGAATGAGATGGGATTTAGGATCCCTTCCAACCCAAACCATTCAGGGATTCTGTGCCTGCCTCAGTTTCCCCTCCATGATAATAAGAGAAACCCCCAGAGCTCCCTGAGCCCATCACCCTCCCCAAACCCACTCCAGCTCCAACCTTCTCCCTCTGCGCTGCCATTTCAGCCCTGGAAGG